TGATCAATATTTATATTGTTTCCAGTCTTCAGCATAATGAATAATGCTATGACAAACATCTCTCTATGTATCTTTGTACAACTTTATACATGTCTTTGCTGAGTAAAAGAGTAGGCACATTTTTAAAGCTTTTAATACACATTGCCAAATTGTTTCCCTGAAAAGTTTTTTTTAACAATTTACAATCTCATCAAAAGTTGCAGGAAAGTGTCCATTTTTCCCAAAACCCTTGGCAATATTGGATATTATCATTTTCATTATCTTGTCATCCTGAAAGAAAAAAATTGTTACTGTTATTCTAATTAACATTTATTTGACTATTAGTAAAATTGGACATCTTCTGATATGTTTATTGGACAAATAAATAATTAAGACAAAATAGTGTTTCTCCTTAACAGAAAAAGGGAAGGAATTAAAAATTTAGATTCTTCTAACATGAAATAGTAGCTGCACAAAACTTCAAATATATAACTCAGTATAGTGCAGAGTAAAGTCAACCTTAAAATTTATTTGAAGGTTTTGTCATCCCTAATATAGACCTAATATAGGTCACTCTTTGTAGACCATCATTATTTACTCTTGCATTTAACAAAAATGAACAAATCCATCATTGCACTCACTCACTGTCCAAAAACTATTTAAAAATAAAACATGATCACCCACATAAAGTCCTTGCAGACATACAGGTTGAGCATCCCTAATCCAAAAATTCAAGATATGAAATGTTCCAAAATCTGAAAATTTTAAACAACAACATGATGCCACAAGTCAAAAATTACACAGCAGACCTCATTCATGTGATAGGTCACAGTCAAAACACAGTCAAAACTTTGTTTCATGCACAAAATTATTAAAAATATTATATGAAATTACCTTCAGGCTATGTATGTAAGGTGTATATGAAACATAAATGAATTTTGCATTTAGACTTGGGTTCCATACCCAAGATATCTCATTATGTATATGCAAATATTCCAAAATCTGAAAAAATCCAAAACACTTCTGGTCCCAAGCATAAAAGATACTCAACCTGTACATGGATATAAATTTATGCTAAGTGGTTAAAATTTTAAATCTATTATTCCAGGTCAACTTTTAGGCCAAGGCCTTTTTGGCCATCACCTTTTTGGGAACAGATATTTTAGAGGGTGCACAAATATTTGTATATAATTTCTGAGTTTACAGACATAGGAGATATGTATCATATGCATACTACAAATAGTAAGTGATGCAGATGTTCCAAAAAGGTCAAGAAAGCCAAAAGTTGGAGCAGTCAGGAAAGGCTTCAAGTAGGGTATGAACCTTAAAAGGAAGATAAGACTTAGATAAGAAGAGAAAAAGAAGGGAGGGTGAGGGATAAGGGAGCAAGAGGAGAAGGGAGAGGTAGAAAGTAGGAGGGAAAGAAAAAGAGGTTAGGGGAAGGCAGGGAATAGCCTATCTGGGTAGGAATGATGTGAGGAAAAGTATAAGCACAGAAATGGATGAGATAATATACATGCGATGCAACAGGAGCAACGTACATCGACTAAGCTGGATTCATATGGACAATAGTAGATGAGAAAAGAATGTAGGTCTAAAGTCAAGCAGTAGACAGCTCTGAATGTCAAGCTAAGACATTTGAATTCTATTCCATAGACAGAGAGGAAGAAACACTAAAGATTTATGAACAGAACAATATTGATCTGGCAAAGATGGCAGGTCAAATAATGGAATCCTCAGCTAAGGTGTGTGCTAAAAGAAATGGAAAGAACAGAATTAACAAAAAAGAAAGCACTCAGAAAGGAAGAACTGATAGACTATGATTAGTACATGGGTGAGAATTTGGAAGGGATGGGTAAGGATGTCATCAAAGACAGAACCTAAGTGATTGGACAAAATTAATATATCTATAGTAAAGGTGGCTGCTTCTGAGGGAACAATAGTAAAACATGTCAAATATCTATTTACATAAATATGTACTACATAATTACCTGTCTCCATTGTTACAGAACTGAACAGCAACAACTTTATCCTAAGACATAAAACAACAGATTTTTGGTTAAAACAAATTTATTTGTAAAATGAATAAAGTACTCTTCCCCTCAAATTCTCCTGCAAAAACATCATGGAATAGTTTTTTTTTT